AAGCCTCTGCAACTTCTCTTGAGAACAACATGGGCTCTGAGAAATATCTACTGGTGTTGACTGCATTGGAATCCTTGCAACTGTCTGCAGCTCCATCTCCCATTTCAGCAGAAGCCATAGATGAAGTCTGATCAACAGCAGGGTCACAATCCATTTTAGTATCTTCCTCTTTGCTTTCAGCTGTTGCAGTATTTCCACTTCCATGGCAACTCACAGGCCTCCAGAGTTTTACTATTGTTCGACTAGAATCTGGTTTAACCAACTTCTCTTCAAAACTATCCAATCTCAAAGTCGCATGCTGGGGATTATTGTCACCATCAAGTGCAATGCTGATTGAACCTACCATAACCTTTTCTTTATCACATAGAACCACCTCCTCAGATTGTTCTCTAACAACTGTTTCTCTTTCATTTGCGCCCTCGGCCTCCGGCTTGCATTTTGGTGTCCAAATTTTGTAGCCATTAGCAGACTTTAAATCCCTGTAGTTACCATGCCTCATAAAGCCAGAAGACTTAGTTGCTTGAACCTGACCATTATGGAAGCCATTTAGAGATTTTTTATTCTGTTTTGGATGGGGATGGTGTGAAGCAGTAGGCGTCCGATGTTCACTGATTGTTTGCAACTGATGTGCTGAACTTTGATCAGCAACCTCAGCATGCAAAGGTTGTCTCAAGTCTGCATTAGAACCAGTATCCACTGATCCGATCTGCTCCAAAGACAGTGGATCTTGATTGAGTGATGCCTCTGAAGTGCTCAACTCGGATTCAGATTGAACCCTCGGACTTGGCGTGCTTGGGGAACCAGAAGACCCTTCAGCAGTATCTAGAATACCATTTTCAGAATCAACCTTCTCACCATTTGACAGCTCCTTTGCTTTTTGTCCTTTCTGCCTCAACTTTTTCAACCTTTTTCTTTCCAAAAGTTCAGCTTGCCTGTGGCATTCAGTCAGAATTTAATCAAGTTTCCAAACAAGAAGAAAAAAAAACCACTATTCATAATTTAACAATTGCACTTGCCCTAAAAGAAAGCAATCAGCACGCAAGGAACAATATAAAATGTAAAATGATAACAAAAACATCAATAACAACAAGGCATCATGAAAAACACAGTGTATCTACAGGGGTTAAGAAGCTACTACAAGGGGTAGACAAGAAATCACTCAAGCATTAGATCTTGTTTCTGAAAAGTTTGGCATCAACAAAGGATCCACCTTAAATGTCTCAGTAAAAATGAGTAGTAAAGAAATGGACAAAATGATCATCTCCCCCTCAAAGTATTGT